CAAAATGAAAATGGGCAAAGTCTACTTAAGAAGGAGCTAAATATTCCCGTCAATTTCAACTCACCTTGTCCACGAGCCCAGGAGACCCACAGGGTGAGGATGACCTTGACTAATAACAGCATGGTGGGCTCCCCGGGTGTGTTAGCACAGAGAGTCCAGCGCTGCTGTTTGGGGCTTCAAATCTGCTCCATGAGCCGTTACCAAGTGTGGCTCTGAATTTAAGTGAAATTACCAGGAAGCTGGTTGACTGGGGTCACTCGGTAGATATCAAAGTCCAAAGACTTTTGCAATTCTGTAAATTTACATGAAGGATTTCACAATCATTTCTTGAGTTACTTCTGTGATATGTATTTGTGCCACTTTCCTTAGATAAGTTGAAACCTGGATCCAAGAGTGATATGAAACTCTAATCTTTAAACACTTCTTGAGAATCGGTGAGGTTCTTCCTCAACCAGGAGATTCACACGGGAATAGCTCTGCCTGCATGTCCCTGTGACGTTCTCTCACCCGAGTGCAGCCCTTAGGGGTCTGTGGACACAGCGTACATTCCTGTCTGCAGGAAAGCACTAATTTTTTTTTTGTAAACTCACAATAGACAACACCTCAGAAGTCCAAGAATTTCAGCACATTGTTTGCATTCAATTTTTTTCATGTTTTGTTTCTTTTTAGAAGGAGAGAGAGAGAGAGAGAGAGAGAGAGAGAGAGAGAGAGAGAATATCAATGGGAGAGAGACACATCCTGCACACACCCCAACTGGCACAGAGATGAAACCTGCAACCCAGATCCATGCCCTTGACCAGGACTTGACCCCCAGACCCTTTAGTCCTTGGACCCACACTCTGACCACTGAACCACAGGACGATTTTAACAAATAATTTTTCATTACGTAATTCCCACAGTATATTCGAAGCTCATGTGTTTTGTTTGACTGGTTAAACATTCGATTCAATAGGCAGAAAGTCACACTGTTACCTCCATTGCTGTTTATTGCTCTATTGGCAAGTAGTCTAATCCCAGGATGGTGAAGAATCATTGTCTTGGTACAAGTGAAAGTGATGATATAGTTGCATTAACAACTTTGGGAGAAGAATAAGTTGAAATGGAGGCTAACATATTGCTTTTTTGTCCATTGAAATATAGTGGAAAAGAGCAGGAAACGCCAGAAACCTGGCAAGCTTTGAGGCAAAGAGCAGTAGGTTGGACTGACCACGTATTTGGAGCAACAGGGCTTCTTCATTCACACCTGGGGAACTCCACTGTCCCTTCCCAACACCTGCTGATACTCGATATTTTATCAGTTTTTAAGTCCGTGTTACAATAGCTAGGCCCCTGATTAGAATCTAATACCTCCTTATGACATGTTTGAATGATTGTATGTGCTAGATGGATAGTAGATGTTGCATTTCATCATTTGGGGTATAGTGAGCCATGGATAGATAAGCAAAACTAATTAATAACCTCTACCGTCTATTGCCAACATGGGTGTGACACAGTTTGGTTTTGATGTGTTTGTGAAGTGATTTTAAGGTGAAGATGGAGACAAGCATTTTTTATTTTTTTCCTCTGAAATTAGAGTCTCAAAACCCCCCACAGCTGTGGAGAAGCTTTGAGGACATTGGGAGGGTGGTGGGGGGAGCAGGGAGGGGAGAGATGGCATCTACTTTCTGGCCAGAGACGTTTCATGAACAGAACACACAACATGTTGGTTTGTCACATTTTAATGAGATGCTAAGGAGAAGTGGTCCGTTGGTATCAGATTACAATGACATCTCCCACATGGCATTTAACAGGAATTGTGATTAATGAATACAAGTGAATTACAGCCTACTAGAAAAATAAATTGAGAAGAATCAGATTAATATTAACAAATTCTGAATGAAGGCGCATATTTTAATGTGAAAACTGCCACACAGCTCTCATTTTATCCACATGTGGGATACTCCAGCTTTCCTTCTCGACATTGTGCTCGGAATGCAGATGCTGGTGACACTTTAGTATACTGAGGTCGACACACAAATTCAACATAATCATTTGATCTGGAATAAAATTTTTTCGCATCTGAATATCTCAACTGTATGTTATGTTCTTTCATGATTTTTTCTGATATTACACAGGCACCTGAAGGTTAAAAAAAGGAACATAAAACTTTAAGTGGTATACAGATATATTCCACAGAACTTTACACTTTTATGTAGAATATTCTACACAGATCCAGAAATTTATTCTCAAACCCTTTTCCAAACCAATTCATTGAAAATCCATCATGTTGCTATAACTCATTTTAACTATCAATGATGTTAAAATGAGGTACTCTGTGGAATGTGTGGTCATTGCACGTTATAATCAACATTCACAATGTCACCTACGCTATGAAGGGCTTTCATTAAAGAATCCTTCAATGGGTGGTGGAGGTGGATGAGGGTGGAAGGGACATAAGCGGTGATGGGGAAAATAAATTAAAATAAAGAAAAATGATAGTTTCTTGCTGTTGTTGCTCAAGAACTTCTCAGACTTTATTCCCTCAGACATGACTATTTGGTTGTCAACAGAAGGGGTGATAGTCCATGCAAGTTCTGTTGTAAACAGCAAACATGACATTCATTACACGGATTTCCCAGGGTCCACGAGACATTAAAGGAGTTACCTAAGCATTTGGGTGGCTCAGACCACTGTCCATCACGGCACGTTATTCTCCTGTTTCCCTCAAGTTGATAGTAGGCCTGGCATTGATACTCCACTGAAGACCCGGAAGCGTAGAATGGTGATATATATGTGGTAACGTCTCCATTGTCAATAGCAGGAGGGCGCCCACATTTTCCTGTGGAATCTAAGAGAGGACATTGTTGGTTTATTGAGTGAGCAGTTGATTTTAAGGGAGCTGCGGAGTAGGTGGGAGCTACACTCACCTCCTCCCGGCCCCAAACCGATTTACAGGAATCGATAGAGCAACAAACCTGAGTAACCAAATGAAGGCCAGCTGGACAGGAGTCTAGTAACCAAGTGCTTCCAGAAGCTGCACAGAGACTGGGAGGGGAGAATGAGACACCTACCCTTGCACTCAGGTGGGTCTGTCCAATTCCCACTGAAGCAGGTCACCACTGCTTTCCCGAAGAGGCCCAAAGGGTGCCTGCATTCATAACGTGCTGTGTCCCCATGTCGATACCTAGGTTTCTGGTTTGGTATGAAGGCATTTTGCACTGTGGGAGGCCTGCCACAGGAGACATCTGAATAAAGAGAAAACAATGAATCTCTAATGCAGCGATCATTTAGATGCAACGGAGACTGAAAATCTTCACAAATTTACAGACAAGATTGAAAAAAGAAGATAAAGCAATTTTTTTGTAAGAGGAAAGCTTTTATATCTTAAGTTTCTTTTCCATCCTCTCTCAAAGGTTCATAGACATTTTTAGGCCAATGAAAATGATGATATGCTGTGCAAAACTTTTTAGTTTGATGTAGTCCTATTTGTTTATTTTTTCTCTTTTGTTTTGCTTGCCTGAGGAGATATATCAGAAAATAAATATTACTATGAGAAATGTCTAAGATTTTACTGCCCATGTTTTTATTTCTAGGATTTTTATGGTTTTTGAATCTTGCATTTACGTCTTTAATCCATTTTGAGATTATTCTTGGGTAAGGTATAAGAAGGTGGTCCAATTTCATTTGTTTTGTTGTGTTTTTCCAATTATACCAGCACCATTTATTAACCAATGGCACCCCAATAAATTCAATAAAAATTTTAAAACTTTTTTTAAAGTAAAAAAAAAATGACCATTTTTCTGAACATTTTTAAGTTTAGTAAAATAAATGTAGATGATATAAAATCAAAGCGAATTTATAAACCCAAGAAACTCATAATAAACATATTATTTGGCAGCCAAATGTGGTTCGCAAACATCATGTTTTTGAATTGGGATTTCAGGCCCTTAGAAAATGAGCACAGTAGCCAGGTTCTTAGAAAATAAGTCAAGTATTGCCATGCTTTGAGGAATATCTCATGGCTAAAGAAGAAGATGATGATGATTTAAGATATCCACACAGAAACTGAGGAAAACTAAGAGTACAATATATTTACAGTTTCCTAAAAATACTCCAATAATGTGAGTGCTTAAGGGCACTGCAGTGAGCACTGTGCAGTTCATTGGGGAGTCTCGGGCGGATATAAAGTAATAAGAGGCTGAAGCTATGGTTCCCCACAAAAGTGGGCGCAGAGCCTGCTGGGAATTGCTACAAAGGTTTCAGGGTCACAATCCCTGAGCTTCTGATGCTGAGTCTGAGTGAGCCTGTGAGTTTGCATTTGCCTTCCTACCGATTCCCCAGACACACTGACACGGCTGTTTCCGGGGTCACACTCTGAGGGCTCTGGGGCCCCAATGCCCAGCACTGAGTGCACATCCCATTCCACTCTGTTGAGGCATAAACCTTCCTTCATCTGGCCTAACCCAGAATCATATGCCTAATTTTTAATGAAGCCAGAAGCCATTCACCAAAATACCTTTGCATGTGGGGGTTCCTATCCAAATACCGTCCCTACACTGCACAAAATTGGATCCTTCCATTTGGTAATGTTCTGGACATCTATAAGCCACTTGTTCTCCTGACTTGTATGAGTTCTTCTTCCGGCCTATGAGGATGGCATTGCCATAGCTGGGTGGGCTAGAACAAATTGATTCTAAAAAAGCAACAACATAGACTTTTCAGTAAATCTTTAAAAGTACATGTCCGCCAATAATTATACTTTAGAATAATAGATACACACCAAACCAATGCCTACTGTACAATGTATTTCTTATAACTTGAAAATGGTAGCCATCTTGATTTAGTTATTTGAATAATTGTACATTTATCAAAAGTGCAATGTGGGGATGGTGGTGTTGAAAGCCTGAGGAGATGGGCACACCGGGCATGACCGAGACCAAACTTCTTATAATCAAATTCTTATCTGTCCATACGGGCACAGACACTATGTGCATTTTATATTTTTTGCTTCTGTCCAAATCTTTTCCCATAATTACATCAAACATCTTAAAATAACTATGTTTTTGTTGATTTCAGAGAGGAAGGGAGAGGGATTGAGAGAAACATCAATGATGAGAGAGGATCATTAATGGGCTGCCTCTACCATGCCCCCTACTGGAGATTCGATCCTGCAATCTGGTATGTGCCCTGACCGGGAATCAAACTGTGGTCTCCCAGTTCATAGGTAAATGCTCAACCACTGAGCCATGTGGGCCTGGCTACATCAACCACCTTAGAACATTATGGATTTATGAGGACATAACCGATAAACACTCAGTGAATTGAATAATGATGAGGTGGGTGAGCAGGGACCAGCTGTGATACAGGAAGAGATGAGAAGTCAGAGGATGCCCATCAAAGCACATGGACAGTGAACACAGATGACATCAAACAAAATAATTTGGCTCCTGTTGCCAAACTTCATATTACTATTAATTCTGCTATTTATTCTCTAGTAGAATCCAGAACTTCTAGAGATACCTTCTAGAAGTAATGCAGTTCTATAGTTGTACCATGAATACTCTGAACTAAAGATATTCATCAACCTTAGAAGAAAATGAAATACACTATACTTGTGCATTCTGGTGGATGGGACCAATTTCCTCCTGAACATTCTACAGACGCAGGTCCACGGATCCGAAATCCAGGTTTACAGGTGTATGTATATCTTTCCCCATGTGGATAACTGTTTATCCTGTCAGGAAGAATAGCATTGGCAACCACAGGGGGTCGTCCACAAGGAAGTCCTTAAAAAAAAGGAAAGAAATAATGAGTGTGTATTTCACTAACTCTGCACTTCATTTCATGTCCTGGTTGTCGTATTTGGTGCTTTCATTTGAAAGAAAATGATCACACAGGTGCTAATATCACATGACAGAAAAGGCGCACAAATGCTTGACAAACCACCATGGTGGTGTGTCCAGCTGTCAGCTTGAGCTAAAACTTGAAGCGAAAACTGTGAACAGATCTGAGAATGAGCGTATCAATGGTTCTCTAACCAATTATGAGCAATAAAAAGAAACACATTGAGAATCATCTTAAGAAAAGTATCCTCTATTGTAAGAGATCAGAAGGGACAATGGAAAGAGAACATAAATCTTTACAAAACCTGGCGACAAAGCCTTCATTGAAACCCATATGAATATGTGGAAATATGAACAGGTATATTTATATGAAGCATTAGGTTTCATTTCACCACATTTCAGGTTTTGTAGGAAAAAATGCCCGAATTACAAGTGATTTCATAATGAACCAATAAAATTAATAAAAATAGGTTTGATTTATTTGTGCAAAATCATTTGATAAAATATTAAAATCTATATAAGTGAAACATAATGCTTTTATATGTTTCTAAATCTAAAGAGTTATTTCTCATGGCTTTGATGATGACGATGGAATATCTTACTGAACTGCACCAAACAGAACTGTAGTGTGCATGCTGTCCTCAGCTACACACTGTGGTGAAGCACTACACGTTCCCCGGTGGCATGTTATCCCATCTTCTTTGGATAATTTGAAACCATCCTTACAAATATAACTTAATGTGGTGCCATGTGCATATAGCTTGGGTCCCAATGTTCCTCTCTTGTCTTCTGAAGATATGGATGAAATAATGCTTCCATGTTCTACATGAGGTGGTTGAGAACATGGAGTTTTTTCTATATGAAAAATAGAGATTAAAGGGTGAAGCACAAAGATAATGATTAAATTGAAAAATGAAATCCAACACTGTTTGGGATTTTAAAGTAAGGTCATTGGAACCAATTAAATTATTAATAACTAAAAGTATTTGAAACTTGCAAAGATATATGTGCCCATAAAATTGATGCTACTGTCCATGTGTCCCATATGCCTCTTCAGTCTCCTCTTGCTCATCTTGAGGAGTGAAATTCGCATAAACAGAACTTGGGTATTTCTGTCACCGGAAGTTTCTGTTTGCATTTGTTTCACATTAGAAGGGAAATAATGCTGATGGATTTCGGCACCTGGATGGTGTGTACTGTTTGGAGATGAAGTGGGATGGATAGGGGAAAGGGGTCCTCTTCTTCCTTTACACAAAGCAGGGCTGTGGGTTACCCTCATCTGAGAGACAGTGTAACGCAAGTGACCCACTACTGACCGACACAGCGCGGGATTGACTGCCATTGTCCATCCTGGCACACGATTTCCTCTCCTTCCTGGATGAGAAAGTTTTCTTGACAGAGAATAGATATTTTTTCTCCTTCTTGATAATTCACTGAAAGGGTCATATGTTGAGAATTGGGAATCTGAGGTGGAGGTGGACATCGTGGTGCTTCTAAAAATATTAAAATCAGAATTCTTGATGAAAAATCATAAGTCAAATATTAAAATAACAATTCAGTGAATAAAATGATCAATAATATGCACCTGGAAAGATCAAACTGTAACGTTCTTATCTGCGTTTAAATATGTTATACTTTCCGTCTTGTTTGTCACTCTAATATACCTCATTGGGTTTATATTCTCATGGCCTTCCTTGTAGGTTCTTTCCTTTACTCCTTCTGGGATCAATCTTGGATAGCTTAGCTTATGTAAATTGCTTTCTGTATATTCTAGGCCCATTGAAATTGGTAAATATATTGAGGTGAGTGGGTCATGGTGCCCTCAATTAAAGAAGAGCAATAGTGATATGAAAAGTGGGATGAACCCTGTGTTATTGGAATTGGTGGTGGCAATGAGACTCAGTGTTTGCCAGAGAGATAAATGAGCAAAGACAGATGACTAGATGGGTAGATTCCTTTAGAGGTAGATGGATGCAGACATAGATTGATCTGTAGATAGATGTGCACACTCATAGATGCTTAGATAAATACACGCGTTATAGGCATAGGCACATCTGTAAGGTAAGAACTTGGTAGCAATGGGATCCCAATAGTAATGCGCACACCCACTGCCCAGTGTGACTTTAAAGCCACCGCACTGCCGGGCGGTTTGTTGATAGCTGACCACTGCACATGATACAATTACTATTCAGAAACAGAGTTTTGGTTATTTTCTAAATTTCCTTCCACTTTCAAAATTATTGTCATAATATGTACTTAGTAACAAAACGTTAAGACACAAAGAGACACCATGTACAAGGCAGGAAGGAAAATCACCGTTTGGAAATGTTCTAAACAAGAGCTCACCTGTGCAGGTCACCTCGGGCTCCCACTTTCCGTTCACGCAGACTGAGTGTTTCTGCTCTGACTTCCTCCCACAAGTGAACCTGATTTTCTTATTATGCTCAAAGTCAATCCCATCTGGTAAGTTTGCCTCAGAGTCAATTGCCCTTGCTAACTTACATGTCTTTAGTTCAACTGTCGCTGTAAAATGAAAATATTACATTGAAGACAATAATTATGAAAATCCAGGCAACTAATAAAAAACAAACCAACACAACAACTATGGAGTCCAGGATCTAATGAAATAGGATGTTAGGTCCATAAATCCTGCTTAGGAAGTTCTTCCTGATCATGCTGCATGAGGTGGGCTACGATGTTTGGACACATAGTCCTATGTCCAGTATTGAAATTTCAGAGAGAATAGTCATCCTAAAGCCATGTTGCCCTCTGAAGATTGCAAGGACATAGGGGTTCACCTTTTGTATGATCTACATAGGAAAGAGTCATACATGACGAAATATGGTCTCATTGGAAATCTGCAAATTTTCACATCCATTTTTCTTGGTGCCACATATCTCTACATTATTTTCAGTCTATAGTCTTCAAATGGTAAAAGAAAACAATTATCTGAGGAAATAGAATATATGAATTTCCTAGTTTAATTATATATTTTAAAATAACTTTAATCTATACTAACAAGAAAAGTTGATCTAAGGTGTAGGGTATAGACTGTGAATGTTTCACCATATCTTTGGCACGAATACCAAAAACCAGAATAAGAAATTTGGTTTTTAAGTCATAACACATTTTGTATACATGTTCTTAGAATCTTTGAGAAGCTATTTTATACACCAGATCATCCTAGAATCCAACATTATTATAGTGCCATAAAAACACATTTATGTGTGCTGCAGTATATTTTAGATATGGACTATGGAAGTTTTCATAAACAACTACATATTTCAAAAATGCAATGCAGGTGGCAATCCTTTTTTTCTTTTTTTGTTTTTGGCAATCCTTTTTTTCTTTTTTTTTTTGTTTTTGGCAATCCTTTTTGAATTTGATAAGGTATCAGTGTAGATCTTAGGTAGTATTTGTTAATAATTTGTTAATAGTGAGAATCAAGTGAGGATGAACAGAACAAAGAAGAGTCAAGTAATTGGCCAAAGAAAAGTAATGATTTTGTAATGCAACCTTGAAAAAAAAACTAAAATAAAGGGGATTAACTTAAAACAGACAAGAGGCTTGAGAAATAGTCTTATTGTTAGGGCAGGTCCAGAGTGGTGAGGGACACAAAATGAGTCATCTTCTTTGAGATGAGAACTAAAGGAAGATTTGTGGTCAAAAGGAGGTGTGATGGCTGTGATATGTCGAAAGATGCTGGTTTTCTGAAAGAATTTGTTAATATTCAGAGAAAAGAAACATCCTGATAGAGTGAAAAGCTGGTTTATGGGAAGTTACAAAATAAACACTGAATGATACAATTTCCATCATGTGTCTTTAAGTAAAATTTAGCTTCACAGGTTTAAATAATGTTAATATTAAGGACAGACCCATAAAATTCTATTGCTAGTTTCTATTTTTCCTGTGTAGATCCTATGGAACTATAATCAGTGAATGTTTGATTCATTATAATTTTCAACCTGACATTTTCAAGAATATCTCTAAATTTCAAAAATATGGTTGCATGAAGTTTCACAATAAAAAAAAATCCAATGTTATTAAGTATCAATTATAGAAGTGTCTTCTAACCAATGCACTGAGGTGGTTGGGTCCACGTTCCCCTAATACATGTAACTGAGCTCTGACCAATCATTGTAAAGTCTTCTCTGCAAGTGAACTCTACTGACTCTCCATGGTGATAGGGGGGCCGTGCTGGGGACACGACCTCGCCATGGTCCAGCTCAGGTACATCTCCACATGTACTGTCATCCTCTGTGAAAATCCCACAAACAAACATTCAACTTTAAAATGTAAGTGAGGTCTCTTTTTTAAAAAATATATTTTATTGATTTTTACAGAGAGGAAGGGAGAGAGGATAGAGAGCTAGAAACATCGACGAGAGAGAAACATCGATCAGCTGCCTCCTGCACAACCCCTACAGGGGATGTGCCCACAACCCAGGTACATGCCCTTGACTGGAATCGAACCTGGGACCCTTCAGTCCGCAGGCTGACGCTCTATCCACTGAGCAAAACCAGTTTCGGCTGTAAGTGAGTTCTTGATATGAACAGAAACACTACTGAAAGTTTGGATACATTACCAACACACACGGGCAAGGGTGTCCACTCTCCATCAACGCACTGAATTTTCCTCGCACCCTTCATCAGGAACCTGGGGTTGCACACATACTCCACCACCTCACCGTGTTCATATTCCCCTTTAGGTGTGTCTGCCACTGTCCCGTTGGGGAGTCGAGGAGGTTCGTCACAGGACTGTACTTTCTCTACGGTAGAAACACTGTATAACTAAAGGTTAAAGTGTCTCTTATACAACTGAAAATCCAGTAAAATGAAGTGATTTTTTTCTTTAATCTATTACTTATTATCTAACTTATAGCATTCTTTTGAGGAAGGATAAAAAATGGTGTTTACACCAGATTCATGTCTCTCAATTCTGTTATGATACAGAACTAGCACATTGGACATATATGTAAGCCCAGGAAACATTCGATATTCTAGATCAGGGGTGGGGAACGTCTGGCCCGAGGACAAAAAAAGGCCTTGGAAATCATTTGGTCTGGCCCTGCCAAGGCATTAGGGGTGAGTATATCAATGTTTGACCAATTACAGTAGGATAATTTTTAAGTTGATAATTTTGTATGATCTGAGAATGATGTCATAATATCCAAATGGCCCTTGGCAGAGAAAAGGTGCCCCCCCCCTGCTCTAGAAGATCTAAAACTATATGCAAATCAATGACCAAATATCATTGTATAACTATTCACATTCCACAGAAACATTTCATCAAAACTTTTTGGGGAAAAATCATTGGAGGCAAGCATTTCATCAACAAATTGTAACTCTTCGTTATATTGTATATGGCATTGAGTTAACTCTGTGAGGCTTGAATATTGTCTAGAAATTCTCAGGGAAACTGAGGTGAGACCCAAGCTGATAGAAATGTCCAACACCAGGTGGAAGTTATGCAAAAATTATTACCAAAGAGGTCACTCCAACATCACACAGTATGTCCATCTATGGAGATTTTTAGTATATAGTCCAAAAAGCAATTAAAGATTACTTCCTTAAATAATAAAGTGGGAGGTATCTACTACCCAGCACACATTCCTGGCTTAATGCACTGAGTTATAGACACACTAGGAGCCAACAAAAATTAAGAGAAAAGGGGCAGCTGATGTCAAACATTCTAATTCTTGTTTGAGCGAGTGGCAGAGAATTAATCACCTTTACATGTTGGAGGGCTAGGGGACCATCCAAAGTGGTAGCACTGAAGAGAGTCTGCTCCAATAAGTTTAAGTCTATTTCTGCAGAAGAATTTCAACACGTCTCCAATGACATATTTCTCTTTCTGGGGCTGAGCAACTAAGTTCTGCTCTATATCGGGAACGATGCATTCTCTTTCTATAAAAAGGGTAAATAATTTAATGAGAACATATGATTAACCAGTGCCAAGTAAACATTGTATGTCATGCAAGAATAAGTGGCTGAGTGTTGCCTATAAGGAGAGGCATCAAATCAATGCTCTCCCTGGAAGCGCATTATCTATTATGTCTGAAACATCCCTCACATTCTTATGGGACCCTCTGAATAGCAATAGATGTGTCCTGAACACTTATTTGTAATTTCATCTAGCTTATAGTAAATATGATTTTATCAATGACATTTATAAAATTAAATGCTACATTTTTGGTATTATCCTGCACATCCCCTACTGGGGATGTGCCCACAACCCAGGTACATGCCCTTGACTGGAATCGAACCTGGGACCCTTCAGTCCGCAGGCTGACGCTCTATCCACTGAGCCAAACCAGTTTCGGCTGTAAGTGAGTTCTTGATATGAACAGAAACACTACTGAAAGTTTGGATACATTACCAACACACACGGGCAAGGGTGTCCACTCTCCATCAACGCACTGAATTTTCCTCGCACCCTTCATCAGGAACCTGGGGTTGCACACATACTCCACCACCTCACCGTGTTCATATTCCCCTTTAGGTGTGTCGGCAACTTTCCCATTGCGGAGTCGAGGAGGTTCGTCACAGGACTGTACTTCCTCTACGGTAGAAACACTGTATAACTAAAGCTAAAGTGTCTCTTGTACAATTGAAAATCCAGTAAAATGAAGAGATTTTTTTCTTTAATCTATTACTTATTATCTAACTTATAGCATTCTTTTGAGGAAGGAGAAAGAATGGTGTTTACACCAGATTCATGTCTCCCAGCTCTGTTATGATACAGAACTAGCACATTGGACATATATGTAAGCCCAAGAAACGTTCAATATTCTAGATCGGGGTGGGGAACGTCTGGTCCGAGGGCCATAAAAGGCCTTGGAAATCATTTGGTCTGTCCCTGCCAAGGCATTAGGAGTGAGTATATCAATGTTTGACCAATTACAGCAGGATAACTTTTAAGTTGATAATTTTGTATGATCTGAGAATGATGTCATAATATCCAAATGGCCCTTGGCAGAGAAAATGTCCCCCATCTCTGCTCTAGAAGATCTAAAACTATATGCAAATCAATGACCAAATATCATTGTGTAACTATTCACATTCCACAGAAACATTTCCTCAAAACTGTTTTTGGGGGGAAAATCATTGGAGGCAAGTATTTCATCAACAAATTGTAACTCTTCGTTATATTGTATATGGCATTGAGTTAACTCTGTGAGGCTTGAATATTGTGTAGAAATTCTCAGGGAAACTGAGGTGAGACCCATGCTGATAGAAATGTCCAACACCAGGTGGAAGTTATGCAAAAATTATGACCAAAGAGGTCACTCCAGCATCACACAATATGTGCATCTTTGGAGTTTTCAGTATATAGTCCAAACAACAATGAAAGATTATTTCCTTAAATAAGGAAGTGGGAGGTATCTACTACCCAACACATATTCGTGGCTTAATGCACTGAGTCATAGACACACTTGGAGCCAACACAAAATTAAGAGGAAAAGGGCAGCTGATATCCAACATTCTAATTCTTGATTGAGCAGGTGTCAGAGTATTAATCACCTTTACATGTCGGAGGGCTAGGGGACCATCCAAAGTGGTAGCACTGAATAGAGTCTGCTCCGATGAGAGTGAGGAATCTATTTCTGCAGGAGAATTTCAACACGTCTCCAATGACATATTTCTCTTTCTGGGGTTGAACAATTAAGTTCTGCTCTATATCGGGAACGATGCATTCTCTTTCTATAAAAAGGGTAAATAATTTAATGAGAACATATGATTAACCAGTGCCAAGTAAACATTGTATGTCATGCAAGAATAAGTGGCTGAGTGTTGCCTATAAGGAGAGGCATCAAATCAATGCTCTCCCTGGAAGCGCATTATCTATTATGTCTGAAACATCCCTCACATTCAGTTGGGACCCTCTGAATAGCAATAGATGTGTCCTGAACACTTATTTGTAATTTCATCTAGCTTATAGTAAATATGATTTTATCAATGACATTTATAAAATTAAGTGCTACATTTTTGGTATTATCGAAATAATACTATTATGTCACATTAAAAAACACCTAATGCTACAATTTTAAATTGCATGCTTAAATAAAAATTGGTATTTTAATTTAATATACTTGAGGATCAGGACACTCAAAGAGGCATTTCTCATATATTTTAGTAGAGGAACATTACAAGTTGCTGAGTTAATAATTTAAATCAACTCCTAGGTTGAATAAAATCCCAACTCTTTCACGCCTACACTTCCAATGCCATCTTATCTTTTCCTCCATTTGTTGATCCAGACCCCAGGCTTCATGGTCTTGAACATTTTTTAAGAGATCAAGTTCCTTGCTCTCCCTGTTGCACAGTTCCAAATGGTTTTCAACCTTTCTGTGTAGAGATGCCTTCCTCTATGAAACAAGCCCTCAATCCCTCCCATTTTCAAAGTCCTTGGATGTATTCCTTCCTTTGAAAATATAAAAATGTATTAGAAATATTATTACTATTTGATCCATTATTGGACTTATTTAATTGTTGTTTTTTTTTCCATAATGCAAGGAGCCTGTGGGGAGCCCATACTAGGTGCGTGTGGAAGCCGGCATGGAGAATGTAGTCTAACCACCAGAATATTTTTCAAAAATATGAGAATGTTTGTCAACATGGAAACATTTCACAGAAATGGACAAATGAACAATGTTGCTGATCAGCGTGGTGTTGCCCAAAGACACATGCTTGGCAAATCGGGGAGTGGAATTGAAACCCACCCAGACTATGAATCCAACTGTCAGACTTCCTGTCCCTTTAATCCTTTTATCTCCCCAAACCTAAGGCAACATTCATTCCAACATTTTTTTCCTCCTGGTTCTCTGAGTCCTTTCATTCTCTCTACTTTGCTGCCCACTCCTCTCCTGTCGGACATCTGCATGCTGGAATTCTTCAGGGCTCAGTCTGGAGGTCTCCTCTTTTCTCATTCTGTATTCTTCCCCCATAAGACATCATCATTTACATGGTGAGAATCCACATGTGGATCTGGCTAGACCTCAACGTTCTACTCTGTAGCTTAGAATCCAATTTTGATGGTCCTCATGTGCCCACGTCAATAGTGGAGATGTTCCTCTCCAAGAGCTCTTTCTCCTGCCCGTACCACCTTACCAAAGGCCACCTCCATTTACATGCTTCCTTCTGAGAGAATATTGAAAATAAACATGTGAGTCCCTGGACGATTACTCTGTCTGACACCCAACACTCAGTAAAGTAACTGTCTTTTCTACCAACATGCATCCCAGATCTGTCCTCTGCTCTGCATCTCCTCAGCTGCCACTCTGGCCAATCTCCACCGGAAAATCCCCCCCTTCCTCAGTGGAACCCTCATAGTTCCCAAGATTGTTTGGTTTCAAAGCTTTACACATCCTGTCCCCATGAGTTGGATCCACCCACGTGCCCACAGATAGAGGTTCTATTTCTAACCCCGGAAAACAGACAGCGGGCTGGCAGACATGCAGGAGATTCCTGTAACTGTCCTCAGAACTCTCCACAATCAGGAAATAAGGAAGTCCTCTCGGGGCCTGCAGGAATGAACACTCAGCTGGGAGGTGGCAAGAACCAACTCGGGAGAAAACTGCTGGGGAATTTGTAAAACATATCACCAGGGTCACGAGTATCTAAGTTCACATAATATAAATGGTTGTGTTTAGGATAACAAAACAATGATATGCTTTACACACATTCTGTTTATTTCGATGATCCTGAAAACCAGTACTTACCCTGACAGGTGGGTATATCAGACCAACCATTTTCACCACAGACTATGGAGCCTACGGTGTGTCCATCTCGGTTTTTATATCCATCCTGGCATTCATAGGCCAACCTGTCATTGACCTTAAACCATGTGCCATCACTTTTGGCTCTGGCATTCTCAAATACTGGCACACCACAAGATTCTAATGCATAATAGAATTGAAGATTTCACTTCTAATATTATTGAATGGACATTCGATTGCATAAGTTCCATCCCAAGAACAAAAAAGCGTTATCACTTAGCATGTGCTAATAAATTATGCATCATATACAAGTAATCTACGCATACTAGTGATAAATCACTGTCGTAAAATCGGTACTCATAAGAAAAGCATGTATTTCTACACAGCAGTTTTACCATCACTTAAATCACTAAAACTTTTATTTTAAGAACATTTTTCTCAATGCAATTAACGTTATACATTTATTCCATGTTAGCAATAAAATAGGCCGTAATAAAGGCATTGTACCTTTTCTTTTGGCAAAGCAGAATAGCATTTTGTGAGTGTAGATGTCAAAGTTATTAGCAGTTGTGACATATATGCCAGAAAAAAATGAATTGGTTCAACTAAAAAGTTATTTTTCACCAGTGAGAGTAAATTTAACATTTTATACAATTAAACATTCTATACAATGCTCCTTTAATACATACTAATTTATACAGCTCACATGCTGATTTAGCTTTTTCAGATATTTTTAATGACTGTATATTCTTTTATACTTTTTGAGGTCAAATGTAAAGATAGTTTTATATTTATAATTAGTATAAGGAAGCAAAATGTTAAAAAAAATGGTCTCAATTTTCACTAACACTATATTGGAGTGGTGTTTGTAAAAGTTAAAATAATTTACCTCTTATTTTATAGCATACTATGTAGTGAGCTAGCTTAAAGTGTTAAAAAAAATAAACTACAATTATAATAATAAAAATAATAGGCACATTTCTTCTTTTCCTAATAAGAGTGTTGTAATGACTAGTTGATCACAATTTAAGATAAAATGAGTCTGATATGGATACAACATCATTTTTGCTCTGGCGGGTTCCCATGGTACGTATGGAAATGGAAAGCAATGAAAACAATAGGGATGGACATTTTAAATATCTCCTTCCCTTAAAGTGAATGAAAATTATCACCACGTGGCTTTGGGATGAATAAGACAGAATGAGCGAACTGTCTAGGGAATGTTCATAAACTTCGAGGTCATAAAGCAGGGAGCTCTCTCCCTGCCGCGGACTCTGGTTGTGTCTAGGAGCATCTCACAGTCTCCACTCACTGCACATCCCTGTCGGCTTCCTGGAGGAAGTGATGCTCAGAAGAGGAGCTCCCCTGCAGCACCGATCACATAAATCACACAAGTGACATTCCCTAACCTGTGTCCTGTGAGCGCACATTTCACTTACAGACCTAACTTTTATGTCTGGGAACTGAGACTCTGAGAGGAAAGTCTGATCACCTGCAAACAGGTAAACAGGGCAGGATCTCAGCTCAAAACGATGAGCTTACAGCGGAATCCACACAGGCCCGTAGGCAGTTTGCAAATCGCAGGGTGGTTTACGGGGGATAAACCTTGAACTGAATGATGGGCTCATGTCTACCCTACTAGTAATTCATTGTAAAAGACAGAAAGAAATTACATATATTTTCTCACAAATTTCTTATGTAGCTTTTACAAATAGAACTACGTCAGCTTCCACCACCCCACAAAAAAGAAATCAGTTAAACGTTTGTTCAACAGCCATTAAAATAACAGACACCACGGTCATGAATGACTTACTAATGCATCTGGGTTGAGCTGACCATCCATTCTGGAGACACATAATAGACCCGGATGTGTGACCATCTTCTGTTACATAATCTTGTTTGCACTTATATTTTACTTTCTGATTTAAGAGATATAAAGATTCAGGCTCAGCCGAAAAAGGTTTGGCTCAGTGGATAGAGCGTCGGCCTGGGGACTGAAAGGTCCCAGGTTTGATTCCGGTCAAGGGCATGTACCTGGGTTGCGGGCACATCTCCAGTAGATGTGCAGGAGGCAGCTGATCGATGTTTCTCTCTCATCGATGTTTCTAACTCTCTATCTCTCTCCCTTCCTCTCTGTAAAAAATCGATAAAATATATTTAAAAAAAAAAGATTCAGGCTCAGCAATAAATCCATTCTCAATTTTTACCTTTGACTTTAAACATGTTTCTAAAAGGAGGAGAGTGTAAGGAAACGGTAAGCATATGGTCAGGAAACAGTTTCCTAAGGACTCACACACATTACAATGTAAGAAATAAGGGCCATTTGCTAATGAAAACCAGGAAAATTCCTAGTCATCCAAAGCATTGTGTCGGAGAAAATAGATTATGAGTTTCCAAAAATATTAAATCTAGATATTAAAAAATTTGGGAGGACTAAGGCAGATTCAAACACTCGGGATGCCTTGTAAGCAATTATTAGAAATCGGTTTGCCTCATGAATCTGGAAGCCCCCAGAGCTCTCCTAGCAACAGGCCCTTTCCTGTGCCTGATTGGGTGTCAATATTGCTAAGAGGGTGGAGCTTAAGTGTTCTCACCCCATGGGAAGCAATGGCACCTATGTGAGGTGATGGATGCGCTACGCAGCTCCACCTGGTGGTCATGTCACCACGTGTGCTTATATCAAAATAGCAAGCTGTCCGTGTTAAACATATGCAATTCCCATTTTCAGTTACACCCCATTCGTGCTGATAAAGGAAAACCAACTGGAAAACAGAAACATCTGAGCAGGAATCGTCTAGAAAACAAACACTAGAGAGAATGTACTGAGTCTAAAGGTGCTTCCTTGAAAATATGCACTAAAATGGATAAACACACAGAAAGAACAAAGAAGAGAGTGCCAGCCACACAGACACAATGAGGAAACGGAGCCAAATCTATGAACATGACCTTGTGAGGCATATGGACACAGCCAGTGCCTAACTAAGGTTCCCGGGACATAGGGTCAACCGATGGGACCTCCATTCTCACCAGGGCTTTGTTGGGAGGTGGGAACTTCCCAGATCACAGCACAGGAAGGGAAAGACCCAGAGAGGAAAGAGCCCTGGAATCAGGGGGGGAGAGCTCTACCAACCTGCACAGCGATCCTAGATTCTTTGGTGACTACATCCCCCTGGAGTGGAGGGCGGAACCCCCTGAGAATGGGCAGAGCACAACTACCAGAGGAAAGACCTGCCAGGAAACAACAAATTCCAAGATCCCAGGGCACACCCAGCACTGGGAACATTCAGATTAATCAGTCACCTGGGAACAGGTCTTAAACACCAATCACTTAGTAGAGAGACTAGAAGAGGCCTTCTCCATCCACTTGTACAGGAGTATGTGATTGTGTGTCCCAGGTCATATTTGCTCCTGTCAGCAACAAAATGACTGTTTGCAATTCTTGGAGGGTCACATCACCTAGACACAGTGTTAGGTAAAATTTGTCTGCAGTGTTGGATGTTAATTGACACGAACCTAAAATGAGCCTTAAATATGTTTATTTTTCCTGGCCGGTGTGGCTCCGGGGATGAGCATGACCTCTGAACCAGGAGGTCAGGGTTTGTTTGCTGCTGAGGACACATATCCAGGTTGGCAGCTTGATCCCCAGTGGGGGAAGGGGGGGTGAAGGAGGGAGCCTATCACTGATTCTCTCTCATCATTGATGTTTCTAACTCTCCCTCTCCTTTCCTCTCTGAAATCAATAAATATATATTTCAATACATGTTTTTCTCTCACTTTAATCTGCTATATCTACCATGTTTTCAGATTCCCATTGCAGTCCAGTCTACATATATTAGTTTTTACTCTTATCTACTCTTAACACCAATGGGTGAAGTCAAAAGCTCTGATACACATATAAAAACACACGTTTCCCTAAGAGACAAACCAAACACTATTGGGAGAATTTTGTTAGATTAGTTAGGAATAGAAGAACTTCTGGTGGGTGCTTTCAAGCAATGGGCATACATCCCTTGACAAATTGTAATTCCCTACTCTCATCATCTCCATGAAAGTAAACGGTGCTGTTAAAACATTGCCAGGGCAGGTGCCTCTATCCAAAAGAGTGACAGCTGAGACTGTACAAAGTGTGAGGCCACATTGTTCCTACTGTTAGAAGCCACCATTAAGATTTGGGATAAGAATAATAATCCCCCATTGGCACTCCCTGTTGTGAATCAGTAGAAACATCCAGTTTGCACAGGGGACGGATGAATTGGGATTAAAGGTGGCTTTTATTTAGCTGGTCTCAGTACTTTCCATCATTCCTGCCAATGACTTATTGTGAGAGATTGTCCCTAATGAATGCAGAGACCAAAGGTTTGGTAAATTACCTTCTAATACCCATAGCCGGTGGGTTTAACTGCGGTCAAGGGCACATATCTTCGTGGCAGTTTCCAACTGAGGCCCTGGTTAAGGCTTGTGTGAGAGGCACCCAGTCCATGTGTCTCTCACATCAATGTATGTGTGTGTCTCTCTCTCTCTTCCCCTTCTCCCTCATATTCACTCTTTCTCTAAACCTCAATGGAAAAAAAATCCTCTGGTGAGCATTTTTTAAAAAGTAAAAACAAATGAAAATGGGCAAAGTCCTACTTAAGAAGGAGCCAAATATTCCTGTCAGTTTCAACTCACCTTGTCCACGAGCCCAGGAGACCCACAGGGTGAGGATGACCTTGACTAGTAACAGCATGGCGGGCTCCCCGGGTGTGTTAGCACAGAGAGTCCAGCGCTGCTGTTTGGGGTTTAAATCTGCTGCAGTTACCAAGTGTGGCTCTGAATTTAAGTGAAATTACCAGGAAGCTGGTTGACTGGAGTCACTCGGTAGATATCAAAGTTCAAAGACTTTTGCAATTCTGTAAATTTGCATGAAGGATTTCACAATCATTTCTTGAGTTACTTCCATGATATGTACTTGTGCCACTTTCCTTATATAAGTTGAAAACTGGATCCAAGAGTGATATGAAACTCTAATCTTTAAACACTTCTTGAGAATCGGTGAGGTTCTTCCTCAACCAGGAGATTCACAGGGGAATAGCTCTGCCTGCATGTCCCTGTGACGTTCTCTCACCTGAGTGCAGTCCTTAGGGGTCTATGGACACAGCGTACATTCCTGTCTGTAGGAAAGCACTGATTTTTGTGTAAATTCACAATAGAAAACACCACAAAGTCCAAGAATTTCAGCACATTGTTCGCATTCAATTTTTATTCATGATTTAAGAAGAAGAAGGAGGAGAGAGAGAGAGAGAGAGAGAGAGAGAGAGAGAGAGAGAGGAGAGAGAGAGAGAGAGAGAAGCATCGATGTGAGAGAGACACATCAATTGCTTGTGTCCTGTGGACCCCCGACTGGGACAGGGATCGAACTTGCAACCCAGATCCATGCCCTTGACCAGGACTTAAACCGCATACCCTCTGGTCCTTGGACCAAAACTCTGATCACTGAACCACAAGGACAATTTGAACATATCATTTTTGATTATGTAAAACCCACAGTATATTCTAAGCTCACATGTTTTGTTTGATTGGTTAAACATCCAATTCAATAGGCAGAAAGTCACACTGTTATGTCCATTGCTGTTTATTGCTCAATTGGCAAGTAGTCTAATCCCAGGATGGTGAAGAATTATTGTCTTGGTACAAGTGTAATTGATGATATAGTTGCATTCACAACTTTGGTAGAAGATTAAGTTGAAAAGGAGGCTAACGTATTGCCTTTATGTCCTTCGAAATATAGTGGGAAAGAGCAGGAAATGCCAGAAGCCTGGCAAGCTTTGAGGCAAAGAGCAGTAGGTGGGACTGGCCACGTATTTGGAGCAACAGGGCTTCTTCATTCACATCTGGGGAACTCCACTGTCCCTTCCCGACACCTGCTGATACTCGATATTTTATCAGTTTTTAAGTCTGTGTTACGATAGCTAGGCCCCTGATTAGAATCTAATACCTCCTTATGACATGTTTGAATGATTGTATGTGCTAGATGGATAGTAGATGTTGCATTTCATCATTTGGGGTATAGTGAGCCATGGATAGATAAGCAAAACTAATTAATAACCTCTACCATCTGTTGCCAACATGGGTGTGACACAGTTTGGTTTTGATGTGTTTGTGAAGTGATTTTAAGGTGAAAATGGAGACAAGCATTTTTTATTTTTTTCCTCTGAAATTAGAGTCTCAAAACCCGCCACAGCTGTGGAGAAGCTTTGAGGACGTTGGGAGGGTGTTGGGGGGAGCAGGGAGGGGAGAGATGGCATCTACTTTCTGGCCAGAGACTTTTCATGAACAGAACACACAGCATGTTGGTTTGTCACATTTTAATGAGATGCTTATGAGAAGTGATCCGTTGGTATCAGATTACAATGACATCTCCCACATGGCATTTAACAGGAATTCGGATTAATGAATACAAGTGAGTTACAGCCTACTAGAAAAATAAATTGAGAAGAATCAGATTAATATTAACAAATTCTGAATGAAGGCGCATATTTTAATGTGAAAACTGCCACACAACTCTCATTTTATCCACATGTGGGATACTCCAGCTTTCCTTCTCGACATTGTGCTCGGAATGCAGATGATGGTGACACTTTAGTATACTGAGGTCGACACACAAATTCAACATAATCATTTGATCTGGAATAAAATTTTTTCGCATCTGAATATCTCAACTGTATGTTATGTTCTTTCATGATTTTTTCTGATATTACACAGGCACCTGAAGGTTAAAAAAAGGAGCATAAAACTTTAAGTGGTATACAGATATTTTCCACAGAACTTTACACTTTTATGTAGAATATTCTACACAGATCCAGAAATTTATTCTCAAACCCTTTTCCAAACCAATTCATTGAAAATCCATCATGTTGCTATAACTCATTTTAACTATCAATGATGTTAAAACGAGGTACTCTGTGGAATGTGTGGTCATTGCACGTTATAATCAACATTCACAATGTCACCTACGCTATGAAGGGCTTTCATTAAAGAATCCTTGAATGGGTGGTGGAGGTGGATGAGGATGGAGGGGACATAAGTGGTGATGGGGAAAATAAATTAAAATAAAGAAAAATGATAGTTTCTTGCTGTTGTTGCTCAAGAACTTTTCAGACTTTATTCCCTCAGACATGACTATTTGGTTGTCAACAAAAGGGGTGATAGTCCATGCAAGTTCTGTTGTAAACAGCAAACATGACATTCATTACACGGATTTCCCAGGGTCCATGAGACATTAAAGGACTTACCTAAGCATTTGGGTGGCTCAGACCACTGTCCATCACGGCACGTTATTCTCCTGTTTCCCTCAAGTTCATAGTAGGCCTGGCATTGATACTCCACTGAAGACCCGGAAGCGTAGAATGGTGATATATATGTGGTAATGTCTCCATTGTCAATAGCAGGAGGGCGCCCACATTGTCCTGTGGACTCTAAGAGAGGATATTGTTGGTTTATTGAGTGAGCAGTTGATTTTAAGGGCGCTGCGGAGTAGGTGGGATCTACACTCACCTCCTCCTGGCCCCAACCCGATTTATAGGAAACGATAGAGCAACCAACCTGAGTAACCAATGAAGGCCAGCTGGACAGGAGTCTAGTAACCAAGTGCTTACAGAAGCTGCATAGAGACTGGGAGGGGAGAATGAGACACCTACCCTTGCACACAGGTGGGTCTGTCCAATTCCCACTTAGACATGTCACCACTGCTTTCCCGAAGAGGCCCAAAGGGTGCCTGCATTCATAACGTGCTGTGTCCCCATGTCGATACCTAGGCTTCTGGTTTGGTATAAAGGCATTTTGCACTGTGGGAGGGCTGCCACAGGAGACATCTGAATAAAGAGAAAACAATGGATTTCTAATGCAGCGATCATTTAGACGCATTTGAGACGGAAAACTTCACAAATTTACAGACAAGATTGAAAAAAGAAGATAAAGCAATTTTTTTGGTAAGAGGAAAGCTTTTATATCTTAAGTTTCTTTTCCATCCTCTCTCAAAAGTTCATAGACATTTTTAGGCCAATGAAAATGATGATATGCTGTGCAAAACTTTTTAATTTGATGTAGTCCTATTTGTTTATTTTTTTTCTTTTGTTTTGCTTGCCTGAGGAGATATATCAGAAAATAAATATTACTATGAGAAATGTCTAAGATTTTACTGCCCATGGTTTTTTTTCTAGGATTTTTATTGTTTTTGAATCTTGCATTTACGTCATTAATCCATTTTGAGATTATTCTTGCGTAAAGTATAAGAAGGTGGTCCGATTTCATTTTTTTGTTGTGTTTTTCCAATTATACCAGCACCATTTATTAACCCATGGCACCCCAATAAATTCAATAAAAATTTTAAAACTTTTTTAAAAGTAAAAAAAAAATGACGATTTTCCTGAACATTTTTCTTTAAGTTTAGTAAAATAAATGTAGATGATATAAAATCATAGTGAATTTATAAACCCAAGAAACTCATAATAAACATATTATTTGGCAGCCAAATAAGGTTTGTAAACATCATGATTTTGAATTTGGATTTTAGGCCCTTAGGAAATGAGCAGAGTAGCCAGGTTTTTAGAGAGTAAGTGAAGTATTGACATGCTTTGAGGAATATCGCATGGCTAAAGAAGGAGATACGTACTTAAGATATCCACACAGAAACTGAGGAAAAATAAGAGTACAATATATTTACAGTTCCCTAAAAATACTTTCATAATGTGAGTACTCAAGGACACTGCAGTAAGCACTGTGAGGTTCACTGGGGAGGCTCGGGTGGATATAAAGTAATAAGAGGCTGAAGCTACGGTTCCCCACAAAAGTGGGCGCAGAGCCTGCTGGGAATTGCTACAACGGTTTCAGGGTCACAACCCCTGAGCTTCTGATGCTGAGTCTGAGTGAGCCTGTGAGTCTGCATTTGCCTTTCTACCGATTCCCCAGAGATGCTGATACGGCTGTTTCCGGGGTCACACTCTGAGGGCTCTGGAGCCCCAGTGCCCAGCACTGAGTGCACATCCCATTCCTCTACGTTGAGGCATAAACCTTCCTTCATGTGGCCTCACCAGATCCTGCATCTATTTTTTAATGATGGGAGAAGCAATTCACCAAAATACCTTTGCATGTGGGTGTTCCTATCCAAATGCCGTCCCTACACTCTACAAAATTGGATCCATACATTTGGTAGTAGTCTGGACATCCATAAGCCACTTGTTCTCCTGACTTGTATGAGTTCTTCTTCCGGCCTATGAGGATGGCATTGCCATAGCTGGGTGGGCTAGGACAAATTATTTCTGAAAAAGGAAGAACATAGACTTTTCAGTAAATCTTTAAAAGTACATGTTGGCCAATAATTATACTTTAGAATAATAGATACACACCAAACCAATGCCTACTGTACAATGTCTTTCTTATAACTTGAAAATGGTAGCCATCTTGATTTAGTTACATTGAATAATTTTACATTTATCAAAAGTGCAACGTGCGGATGGTGGTATTGAAAGCCTGAGGAGATGGGCATACTGGGCATGACCGAGACCAAACTTCTTATAATCAAATTCTTATCTGTCCACACGGGCACAGACACTATGTGCATTTGATATTTTTTGCTTCTGTCCAAATCTTTCCCCATAATTACATCAAACATCTTAAAATAACTATGTTTTTATTGATTTCAGAGAGGAAGGGAGAGGGGTTGAGAGATAGAAACACCAATGATGAGAGAGAATGATTGATTGGCTGCCTCCAGCACATACCACACTGGGGATTCAATCCTGCAATCCAGCATGTGCCCTGACTGGGAATCGAACTGTGGTTCCTAGTTCATAGGTAAATGCTCAACCACTGAGCCATGTGGACCTGGCTACATCAAACATCTTAGAACATTATGGATTTATGAGGAGACAACTGATAAACTCTCAGTGAAATGAATAATGATGAGGTTGGTGAGCAGGGAGCAGCTGTGATACAGGAAGAGATAAGAAGTCAGAGGATGCCCATCAGAGCACGTGGACAGTGAACACAGATGACGTCAAATGAAATAACTTGGCTCCTGTTGGGAAAATTTTCATATTACCATTAATTCTGCAATTCATTCTCTAGCAGAATCCAGAACTTCTAGAGATACCTTCTAGAAGTAATGCAGTTCTATAGTTGTACCATGGATGCTCTGAACTAAAGGAATTCATCAGCCTTAGAAGAAAATGAAATACACTATACTTGTGCATTCTGGTGGATGGGACCAATTTCCTCCTGAACATTCTACAGACGCAGATCCACGGATCTGAAATCCTCTGTTACAGGTGTATGTATATTTTATCCCATGTGGATAACTGTTTAACCTGTTAGGAAGAACAGCGTTGGAAACTACAGGGGATGGTTCACAAGGAAGTCCAAAACACACACAAAAAAAGAAAGGAAATTTAACTAACTCTGAACTTCATTTCATGTCCTGGTTGTCATATTTGGTACTTTAATTTGAAAGAAAATGATTACACAGGTGCTAATATCACATGACAGAAAAGACACACAAATGCTTGACAAGCCACCATGGTAGTGTGTCCAGCTGTCAGCTTGAGCAGAAACTTGAAGCGAAAATTATCAACACATCTGAGATTGAGCGTGTTAATGCTTCTCTAACAAATCATAAGCAATAAAAAGAAACACATTGAGAATCATCTTAAGAAAAGTATCCTCTACTGTAAGAGATCAGAATGGACAATGGAGAGAGAACATAAATCTTTATAAAACCTGACGACAAAGTCTTCATTGCAACCCATATGAATACGTAGGAGCATGAACAGGTATAATTATATGAAGAGTGAGGTTTCATTTCACCACATTTCAGGTTTTGTAGGAAAAAATGCCCGAATTACAAGTGATATCACAATGAACCAATAAAAGTAATAAAAATAGGCTTGATTTGTTTCTGCAAATATAATTTGGTAAAATATTATAATCTATATAAATGACATATAATGCTCTTATACGTTTATAAACCTAAAGAGTTATTTCTCATGACTTTGATGATGACGATGGATTATCTTACTGAACTGCACCAAAACAGAACTTTAGTGTGCATGCTGTCCTCACCTACACACTGTGGTGGAGCACTCCATTGTCCCAGGTGGCATGTTATCCCATCTTCTTTAGATAATTTGAAACCATCCTTACAAATATAACTTAATGTGGTGCCATGCGCATATAGCTCGGGTTCCAATGTTTCTCTGGATGAAATAATGCTTCCATGTTCTACATGAGGTGGTTGAGAACACAGCGTGTTTTCTATATACAAAATAGAGATTAAAAGGTGAAGAACAAAGATAATGTTTAAATTGAAAAAAAAATCCAACACTGTTTGGGATTTTAAAGTAAGGTCATTGGAACCAATTAAATTATTAATAACTAAAAGTATTTGAAAGTTGCAAAGACATATGTGCCCATAAAATTGATGCTACTGTCCATGTGTCCCATATGCCTCTTCAGTCTCTTCCTGTTCGTCTTGAGGAGTGACATACGCATAAACAGAACTTACGTATTTCACAGTCACTGGAAGTTTCTGTTTGCATTCATTTCACATTAGAAGGGAAATAATGCTGATTGATTTCAGCACCTGGTTGGAGTGTACTGCTTGGAGATGAAGTGGGAAGGGTAGGGGAGAGGGGTGATCTTGTTCCTTTACACAAAGCAGGGCTGTGGGTTACCCTCATCTGAGAGACAGTGTAACGCAGTGACCCACTACTGACCGACACAGCGCGGGATTGACTGCCATCGTCCATCCTGGCACACGATTTCCTCTCCTCCCTGGATGAGAAAGTTTTCTTGACAGAGAATAGATATTTTTTCTCCTTCTTGAAAATTCACTGAAAGGGCCATAGGTTGAGAATTGGGAATCTGAGGTGGAGGTGGACATCGTGGTGCTTCTAAAAATATTAAAATCAGATTTCTTGATGAAAAATCATAAAACAAAAATATTAAAATAACAATTCAGTGAATAAAATGATCAATAATAATGCACCTGGAAAGATCAAACTACAATGCTCTGTTCTGTGTTTAAATATGTTATACTTTCCGTCTTGTTTGTCACTCTAATATACCTCATTGGGTTTATATTCTCATGGCCTCCCTTGTAGGTTCTTTCCTTTATTCCTTCTGGGATAAATCTTGGGTAGCTTAGCTTATGTAAAATGCTTTCTGTATATTCTAGGCCCATGGAAATTGGTAAAAATATTGAGGTGAGTGGGTCAAGGTGCCCTCCAGTTAAAGAAGAGCAATAGTGATATGAAAAGTGGGATGAACCCTGTGTTACTGGAATTGGTGGTGGTAATGAGACTCAATCTTTGCCAGACAGATAAATGAGCAAAAACAGATGACTAGATGGGTAGATTCCTACAGCGATAGGTGGATGCAGACATAAATAGAGCGTGCACCCATAGATGCTTAGATAAATACACGCGTTATAGGCATAGGCACATCCGTAAAGTAAGAACTTGGTAGCAATGGGATCCCAATAGTAATGCGCACACCCACTGCCCAGTGTGACTTTAAAGCCACCGCACTGATGGGTGGTTTGTTGATAGCTGACCACTGCACATGATACAATTACTATTCAGAAACAGTGTTTTGGTTATTTTCTAAATTACTTTCCAGCTACAACATTATTGTCATAATACAGACTTAATAAAAAATGTTAAGACACAAAGAGACACCTTGTACAAGGCAGGAAGGAAAATCACCGTTTGGAAATGTTCTAAACAAGAGCTCACCTGTGCAGGTCACCTCGGGCTCCCACTTTCCGTTCACGCAGACTGAGTGTTTCTGCTTTGACTTCCTCCCACAAGTGTAACTGATTTTCTTATTATGCTCATAGCGAATCCTATCTGACAACTTTGTCTCATAGGCAATTGTCTTTGGTAATTTACACGTCTTTAGTTCAACTGTCGCTGTAAAATGAAAATATTCCATTGAAGACACTAACTATGAAAATCCAGGCAACTAATAAAAAACAAACCAACAGAACAACTATGGAGTCCAGGATCTAAATTCCAGCAGCAACGTTCTTCCTGATCATGTTGAATGAGTCGGGCTACAATATTTGAACACATCATCATCCTAAAGCCATGTTGTGCTTTGGGGATTGCAAGGGCATTGGGGTTCACATTTTGTATGATCTACATAGGGAAGAGTCATACATGACTAAATATGGTCTCATTGGAAATCTGCAAATTTTCACATCCATTTTTCTTGGTGCCACATATCTCTACATTACTTTCAGTCTACAGTCTTCAAATGGTAAAAGAAAACAATTACCTGTGGAAATAGAATATATGAAGTTCCTAGTTTAATTATATATTTTAAAATAACTTTAGTCTATACTAACAAGAAAAGTTGATCTAAGGTGTAGGGTGTAGACTGTGAATGTTGCAGCATATCTTTGGCACGAACACCAAAAACCAGAATAAGAAATTTGGTTTTTAAGTCATAACACATTTTGGATATATGTTCTTAGAATCTTTGAGAAGCTATTTTATACACCAGATCATCCTAGAATCCAATAACATTATAGTGCCATAATAACACATTTATGTTGGCTGCAGTATGTTTTAGATATTGACTGTGGAATTTTCATACACAGCTACATATTTCAAAAAGGCAATGCAGGTGGCAATCCTTTTTTGAATTTGACAAGGCATCAGTGTAGGTCTTAGGTAGTATTTGTTCATAATTTGTAAATGATGAGAGTCAAGTGAGGATGAACAGAACAAAGAAAAGTCAAGTCATTGGCCAAAGAAAAGTAATGATTTTGTAATGCAACCTTGAAAAAAAACTAAAATAAAGGGGATTAATTTAAAACAGACAAGAGGCTTGAAAAATAGTCTTATTGTTAGGGCGGGTCCAGAGTGGTGAGGGACAAAAATGAGTCTCTTCTTCGAGATGAGAACTGGAGGAAGATTTGGAGTCAAAAGGAGGTGTGATGGCTGTGGTATGTCAAAAGATGCTTGTTTTCTGAAAGAATTTATTTATTCAGAGAAAAGAAACATCTTCATAGAGTGAAAGGCTGGTTTATGGGAAGTTACAAAATAAACACTGGAAGGAGAAAATTTCAATCATGTGTCTTTACATAAAATTTAGCTTCACAGGTTTAAATGATGTTAATATGAGGGACAGACACATGAAATTCTATTGTTGGTTTCTATTTTTCCTCTGTAGATCCTATTGAACTATAAACAATGAATGTTTGATTCATTATAATTTCCAAGCTGACATTTTCAAAAATATGGTTGCATGTAGAGTTTCACAATAAAAAATCACAGTGCTATTAAGTGTCAATTATAGAAGTGTCTTCTCACCAATGCACTGAGGTGGTTGGGTCCACGTTCCCCTAATGCATGTAACTGAGCTGTGACCAATCATTGTAAAGCCTTCTCCGCAAGTGAACTCTACTGACTCTCCATGGTGATAGGAGGGCCGTGCTGGGGACACGACCTCGCCGTGGTCCAGCTCAGGTACGTCTCCACATGTACTGTCCTCCTCTGTGAAAATCCCACAAACAAACATTCAACTTTAAAATGTAAGTGAGGTCTTGATAGGAACAGAAACACCACTGAAATTTTGGATACATTACCAACACACATGGGCAAGGGTGTCCACTCTCCATCAACGCACTGAATTTTCCTCGCACCCTTCATCAGGAACCTGGGGTTGCACACATACTCCACCACCTCACTGTGTTCATATTCCCCTTTAGGTGTGTCTGCCACTGTCCCGTTGGGGAGTCGAGGAGGTTCGTCACAGGACTGTACTTTCTCTACGGTAGAAACACTGTATAACTAAAGGATAAAGTGTCTCTTGTACAACTGAAAATCCAGTAAAATGAAGTGATTTTTTCTTTATTACTTATTATCTCACTTATTATAGCATTCTTTTGAGGAAGGATAAAGAATGGTGTTTACACCAGATTCATGTCTCCCAGCTCTGTTATGATACAGAATTAGCACATTGGACATATATGTAAGCCCAGAAAACATTCGTTGTTCTAGATCAGGGGTGGGGAACGTCTGGCCCGAGGGCCATAAAAGGCCTTGGAAACCATTTGGTCTGGCCCTGCCAAGGCATTAAGGGTGAGTATATCAATGTTTGACCAATTACAGCAGGATAATTTTTAAGTTGATAATTTTGTGTGATCTGAGAATGATTTCATAAATATCCAAATGGCCCTTGGCAGAGAAAAGGTGCCCACCCCTGCTCTAGAAGATCTAAAACTATATGCAAATCAATGACCAAATATCATTGTGAAACTATTCACATTCCATGGAAACATTTCATCAAAACTTTTTTGGGGGGAAAAATCATTGGAGGCAAGTATTTCATCAACAAATTGTAACTCTATGTTATATTGTATATGGCATTGAATTAACTCTGTGATGCTTGAAATTGTGTAGAAATTCTCAGGGAAACTTGAGGTGAGACCCATGCTGATAGAAATGTCCAATATCAATGGTGGAAGTTATGCAAAAATTATGACCAAAGAGGTCACTCCAACATCACACAGTATGTCCATCTATGGAGATTTTCAGTATATAGTCCAAAAAGCAATGAAAGATTACTTCCTTAAATAAGAAAGTGGGAGGTATATACTATCCAACACACATTCCTGGCTTAATGCACTGAGTTATAGACACACTAGGAGCCAACAAAAATTAAAAGAAAAGGGGCAGCTGATGTCAAACATTCTAATTCTTGTTTGAGCGAGTGGCAGAGAATTAATCACCTTTACATGTTGGAGGGCTAGGGGACCATCCAAAGTGGTAGCACTGAAGAGAGTCTGCTCCAATAAGTTTAAGTCTATTTCTGCAGAAGAATTTCAACACGTCTCCAATGACATATTTCTCTTTCCGGGGATGAGCAATTAAGTTCTGCTCTATATCGGGAACAATGCATTCTCTTTCTATAAAAAGGGTATATAATTCAATCAGAACAGATGATTAACCAGTGGCAAGTAAACTTTATATGTCATGCAAAAATAAGTGGCGGGGTGTTGCATATAAGGAGAGGCATCAAATAAATGCTCTCCCTGGAAGTGCATTATCTATTATGTCTGAAACATCCCTCACATTCATTTGGGACCCTCTGAAGCAATAGATGTGTCCTGAACACTTATTTGTAATATGAACTAGCTTATAGTAAATCTGATTTTATCAATGACATTTATAAAATTAAATGCTACATTTTTGGTATTATGAAAACAATACTATTCTCTCACATTAAACAACAACTAATGCTACAATTTTAAATTGCATGCTTAAATAAAAATTGGTTATTTTAATTTAATATAGTTGGGGAACCAGGCCTTTTAGAGAAGCATTTCTCATATATTTCAGTAGAGGGACATTAAAAGTTGCTTAGTTAATAACTCAAATCAATTGCTATGAAGAATAAAATCCCAACTCTTTCACGCCTACACTTCCAATGCCATCTTATCTTTTCCTCCCTTTGTTGATCCAGACCCCAGGCTTCATGGTCTTTGAACATTTTTTAAGAGATCAAGTTCCTTGCTCTCCCTGTTGCACGGTTCCGAATGTTTTTCAACCTTTCTGTGTAGAGATGCCTTCCTCTATGACACAAGCCCTCAATCTTTCCTCTGAGAGGAAAGTTTGATCACCTGCAAACAGGTAAACAGGGCAGGACCTCAGCACAAAACAGATGAGCTTACAGCGGAATCCACACAGGCCCGTAGGCAGTTTGCAAATCGCAGGATGGTTTATGGGGGATAAACCTTGAACGGAAAGATGGGCTCATGTCTACCCTACCAGTAATTCATTGTAAAAGACTAAACTAGAGCCACTTCCAATAGAGCCACTTCAGCTTCTGTCCCTCAAGAAAAAGAAATCAGTTAAAGTAAAGATTTGTTCAACAGCCATTAAAATAACAGACACCACGGTCATGAATGACTTACTACTGCATCTGGGTTGAGCTGACCATCCATTCTGGAGACATGTAATATACCCGGATGTGTGACCATCTTCTGTGACATAATCTTGTTTGCACTTATATTTTACTTTTTGATTTAAGAGATATGTAAATTCAGGCTCAGCAATAAATCCATTCTCAATTTTTACCTTTGACTTCAAACACGTTTCTAAAAGGAAGAGAGCGTAAGGGAACGGTAAGCATATGGTCAGGAAACAGTTTCCTAAGGACTCGCACAACATTACAGCATAAGAAATAAGGGCCATTTGTCAATGAAAACCTGGAAAATGCCTAATCATTCAAAACATTGTGTCAGAGAAGTTAAGTTATGAGTTTTCAAAAATATTAAATCTAGATGTTAAAAACATTTGGGGGAACTAAGCCAGATTTAAAACACTCAGGATGCCTTGTAAGAAATTATTAAAAATCGGTTTGCCTCATGAATCTGGAAGCCCGAAGCCCGCCGGAGCTCTCCTAGCAACAGGCCCTTTCCTGTGCCTGATTGGGTGTCAGTATTGCTAAGAGGGTGGAGCTTAAGTGTTCTCACCCCATGGGAAGCAATGGCACCTATGTGAGGTGATGGATGCGCTACGCAGCTCCATCTGGTGGTCATGTCACCACGTGTGCTTATATCAAAATAGCAAGCTGTCCGAGTTAAACATATGCAATTCCCATTTTCAGTTACACCCCATTCCTACTGACAAAGGAAAACCAACTGGAAAACAGAAACATCTGAGCAGGAATCAACTAGAAACCAAACACTAGAGAAAAAATACAGTCAAACGGTGCTTCCTTGAAACTATGCACTAAAATGGGTAAACAGACAAAAACAACAATGAGGAGACTGCCAGCCACAGACACAATGAGGAAATGGAGCCAAATCTATGAAAATGACCTTGTGAGGCGTAAGGACACAGCCAGTGCCTAACAGTGGTTCCCAAGACATAGGGTCAACCGATGGGCTCTCCATTCTCACCAGGGCTTTGTTGGGAGGTGGGAACTTCCCAGATCACAGCCCAGGAAGGGAAAACCCAAGCAGACGTGTCAGTCCTACTGAACAGGAGAAACGAAGGCGCTGTTCCCAAAGGGGCCGACACCGCCAGACTCTGAATGTCCATAACCAGAGAGGAAAGTGCCCTGGAATGGGGGGGAGAGCTCTACCAACCTGCACAGGGATCCTAGATTCTTTGGTGAATACATCCCCCTGGAGTAGAGGGCGGAACCCCCTGAGAATGGGCGGAGCACAACTACCAGAGGAAAGACCTGCCAGGAAACAACAAATTCCAAGATCCCAGGGCACACCCAGCACTGGAAACATTCAGATTAATCAGTCACCTGGGAACAGGTCTTTAAACATCCATCACTTAGTAATGAGACTGAAAGAGGCCTTCTCCATCCAGACCCTGAATAAACTCTTCTGTGTAAAGGCTCCCACACCAGCCTTATCCATTGAAAAATAAGCATTAGTGGAAACTGTTGCCAAGATAGCAAAGCCTTACAAAGCCCAGAGGAAACCTGTCCTGCAATATTAACAGAAGAAGAAGAAAGAGGAGGAGGAGGAGGAGGAGGAGGAGGAGGAGGAGGAGGAGGAGGAGGGGGAGGAGGAGGAGGAAGAGGAGGAGGCTTTTATTTGGCCGGTCTCGGTACTTTTCATCATTCCTGCCAATGACTTATTGTGAGAGATTGTCCCTAATGAATGCAGAGACCAACATTTTGGTAAATTACCTTCTAATACCCATAGCCGATGAGTGCGACTGCTGGTCAAGGGCACATATCTTGGTGGCAGTTTCCATCCTGGGCCCTGGTCGGAGCTTGTGGGAGAGGCAACCAGTCCATGTGCCTCACATCAATGTGTGTGTCTCTCTCTCTCTTCCTCTTCTCCCTCCATTTCACTCTTTTTCTAAAGTTCAATGGAAAAAAATATCCTCAGGTGAGGATTTTTTAAAAAGTAAAAACAAATGAAAATGGGCAAAGTCCTACTTAAGAAGGAGCTAAATATTCCCGTCAGTTTCAACTCACCTTGTCCATGAGCCCAGGAGACCCACAGGGTGAGGATGACCGTGACTAGTAACAGCATGGCGGGCTCCCCGGGTGTGTTAGCACAGAGTCCAGCGCTGCTGTTTGGGGCTTCAAATCTGCTCCATGAGCCGTTACCAAGTGTGGCTCTGGATTTAAGTGAAATTACCGGGAAGCTGGCTGACTGGGGTCACTCGGTAGATATCAAAGTCCAAAGACTTTTGCAATATCTGTGTATTTACATGAAGGATTTCACAATCATTTCTTGAGTTACTTCTGTTACATGTATTTGTGCCACTTTCCTTAGATAAGTTGAAAACTGGGTCCAAAAGTGATATGAAACTCTAATCTTTAAACACTTCTTGAGAATCGGTGAGGTTCTTCAACCAGTAGATTCACAGGGGAATAGTTCTGCCTGCGTATCCCTGTGAGTTTCTCTCACCCGAGTGCAGTCCTTAGGGGTCTATGGACACAGCGTACATTCCTGTCTGTAGGAAAGCACTGATTTTTGTGTAAATTCACAATAGACAACACCACAAAGTCCAAGAATTTCAGCACATTGTTGGCATGCAATTTTTTGTTCATGATTTAAGAAGACGGGAGAGAGAGAGAGAGAGAAGCATCGATGTGAGCGAGACACATCAATTGCTTGTGTCCTGTGCCCTCTCCGACTGGCACAGGGATGAAACCTGCAACCCAGATCCATGCCCTTGACCAGGACTTGACCCCCAGACCCTCTAGTCTTTGGACCAACACTCTGACCACTGAACCACAAGGACAATTTTAACATATAATTTTTGATTATGTAATTTCCACAGTATATTCAAAGCTCATGTGTTTTGTTTGACTGGTTAAACATTCAATTCAATAGGCAGAAAGTCACACTGTTACCTCCATTGCTGTTTATTGCTCTATTGGCAAGTAGTCTAATCCCAGGATGGTGAAGAATTATTGTCTTGGTACAAGTGTAAGCAATGATATAGTTGCGTTAACAATTTTGGGAGAAGATTAAGTTTAAAAAGAGGCTAACGTATTGCTTTTATGCCCTTTGAAATATAGTGGAAAAGAGCAGGAAATGCCAGAAGCCTGGCAAGCTTTGAGGCAAAGAGCAGTAGGTGGGACTGGCCACATATTTGGGGCAACAGGGCTTCTTTATTCACATATTGGGAACTCCACTGCCCCTTCCCGACACACGGCTTGAAATGACTCCTCTGATGTCACCGCCTTGTATCCTGATTTGCATATAAATTCAATGATATCCCTTGCTTTTGCATAGGTTTTGTCATCATTCCCTTTTAACTGTATGTTCTTTTCATTCATGATTTCTTCTGATATTAGACATGGATCTGAAAGTAGAAGAAATGAATAAAAGCAATTAGTAACCTTTCCTTTTATAAACAAATAAACCTTCAACCCAATGACTAGCTTAGAGGATGAAGTAATCGAAAGAGCTAATGTACATCATCAATGTGGGCCAAGTCCTATTCTCAGCCCCGGTCTGTGGGCCCTCACAGCTCCTCAGCGGGCAGCTGCTCCTCCTCACACACCAGGAAGCTGAGGGGAAGGGAAGGTCAGGAACACCTGTCTAAGGTCACAGCCCTCACCAGGTGGACGATGAGCGTGGACCTGGAAGTGTGACCCCAGGGCCTTGGCTCTCTGTCTCTGGGATGTGGGGCACCCACTCAGGTGATGTACAAATACATTAGCTATTTCCATTATTTTGTCTTCTAAGCTAGCCATTGGGTTGAAACTTTATTTGTTTATAAAAAGAAAGATTATCACTTAATTTTATTTATTTCTTCTACTTTCACATCCATGTTTAATATGGGGAAAATCATGAATGAAAAGAACATACAGTTAAAAGGGAAAGATGTGAATGAAGAAGTCCTGTGGCCCCAAATATGTGGCCAGTCCCACCTACTGCTCTTTGCCTCAAAGCTTGCCAGGCTTCTGGCATTTCCTGCTCTTTCCCACTATATTTCAAAGGACATAAAAGCAATATGTTAGCCTCCTTTTCAACTTAATCTTCTCCCAAAGTTGTTAACACAACCATATCATCACTTACACTTGTACCAAGACAATAATTCTTCACTATCATGAGATTAGAATACTTGGCAGTAGAGCAATAAACAGCAATGGGCGTAACAGTGTGGCTCTCTGCATATTCAATCAGATGGTTAACCAGTCAAACAAAACATGGGAGCTTAGAATATACTGTGGGAAATCGTACAATAAAAAGGTATGTGTTAAAATTGTCCTTTCTGGTGTGGTCAAGTGGTCACAGCCTTGGCTTGAGTACCAAAGGGTTAGACTCCTGGTCAAGGGCATGCACCTGAGTTGCAGGTTTGATCACAGTCCCAATTGGAGGGTGTGCAGGATGCAAGCAATTGATGTGTCTCTCTCACATCAATGTTTTCGCTCCCTCTCCTTCTCCCTCCCTCTCCCTCCCTCCATCTCGCCTCCTCCCCCCTTCCCTATATTCTCTAACTGGAGTCAGAGGTGAATCTTGGACTGAAGAAGACTTGTTGTGAGGAAGAAAGGCAGTTCTCATTGTTTCCACCTGTAGGGTTTGAACTGTTTGACAGAGTCGAAGCTTTGCTCTTCTATTTGACAAAAATAATCAGTTATTTTAAAGCTACAAATCTTAACTAATCTGGTCAATGAACAATTTCCCTGATCCTAAGTCAATATGGGAACTGAATTTTTGTTTTCTCATAACCCATTGTGAAAACACCTGAAAACAATTCCAAGTCCTGTCCATTTGAAGCTCTGCCTGATAATTAGTCTCCAATTTGTATTTGAGCAGAAGGTTTTGGCCAAACTAGTTCTCAGATGAGGTTAGTCTTTATGCTTCCCATTTGCTCCATGGCATGCCTCTGAATATGTTGTTCCCTCAAAGAGAAGGTGCCTAGACTGGCCAGTGTGGCTCTGTTGGTTGGACGTCGTGCCATGCACCAAAGGTCACAGGTTCAATCCAGGTGAGGGCACATGCCAGGGTAATGGGCTCATTCCCAAGTAGAGGGGGTACAGGAGGCAGCAGGTAGATGTTTCTCCTTGTAGATGTTTCTATCTCTCCCTCTGCCTCCTTCTCTCTCTAAAGGGAAATAAAACATGTGGAAAATACTGAATGTGAAGAATATGCTGAAATTCTTGAACTTGGTGGTGTGGTCCATTGTGAGTTTACAAAAAAATCAGTGCTGTCCTACAGACAGGACCCTATGAACACACTGGCTGGTGTCCATAGACCCCTAAGGACTGTAGTCCAGTGAGAGAAAGTCACAGGGACATGAAGTCAGTCAGAGCTACTCCCAAGTGAATCTCCTGGTTGAGAAAGAACCTCACCCATTCTCAAGAAGTGTTTCACTTAAAGATAAATGTTTTATATCACTTTTGGATCCAGTTTATAGCTTTTCTAAGGAAATTTGTACATGTCCGGGAATGAAGTCAAGAAATGACTGTGAAAACATTCACGAAAATTTACAGATGTTCCAGAACTCTTTGAAAGTTGATATCTACCAAGTGACCTCATCAACTAGCATCCTGGTATTTCACATATATCTGGGGTCTCCCTCACACTTGGTAAGGGCTCATGAAGCATATTTAAGCCCCAAACAGCAGCACTGGACTCTCTGCGCTAACACATCCCGGGGAGCCCTACCATGCTGTTACTAATCAAGGTCATCCTCACCCTGTGGGTCTCCTGGGCTCGTGGACAAGGTGAGTTGAAACTGATGGGGATATTTAGCTTCCTTCCTAAGTAGGACTGGACCTTTATCATTTGTCTTTAATATTTTTAATCCTCTCTCCATTTATCTTTAGAAAGTGAGGGGAAAGGAGGGGAGAGACAGAAAGAGAGAAAAAAGGGTAGAGGGAGAGGCAGAGAGACATCAGTGTGAGAGAGACTGGGTGCCTCTCGCCCAAGCCCCAACCAGGGCCTGGGATGGAAACTGCCACCGAGACATGTGCTCTTGACCAGGAGTCAAGCCCACCAGCTATGGGTATCTGAGGGTAATTTACCAACACTTTGGTCTCTGCATTCATTAGGGACAATCTCTGACAACAAGTCATTGGCAGGAATGATGAAAAGTACTGAAACCGGCTAAATAAAAGCACCTTTGACCCAATTCATCCGTCCCTGTGCAAACTGGATGTTTCTACTGAATCACAACAGGGAGTGCCAATGTGGGATTATTATTCCAAATCTTAATGATGGCTTATAACAGTGGGAACAATGTGGCCTCACACTTTGTACAGTCTCAGCTGTTACTCTTTTGGATAGAGGCACCTGCCCTGGCAATGTTTTAACAGCACCATTTACTTTCATGGAGATGATGAGAGTAGGGAATTACAATTTGTCAAGGGATTTATGCCCACTGCTTGAAAGCAACCACCAGAAGTTCTTCTATTCCTAACTAATCTAACAAAATTCTCCCAATAGTATTTGGTTTGTCTCTTAGGGAAACGTGTGTTTTTATATGTGTCTCATAGCTTTTGGCTTCAAGCATTGGTGTCAATGAAAAGATGCCTAGGCCAGGCAGTGTTGTATACTATGAAGTGAAAACTAACATATGTAGACTGAACTGCAATGGCAACATGAAAATATGATAGATATAGCAGATTAAAATGTGAGAGAAAATAAATGTATTTTTTATTTTTATTTTTAAAATATAGTTTATTGACTTCAGAGTGGAAGAAAAGGGAGAGTATAACCATCAGTGATGAGAAAGAATCCTTAATCCACTCCCTCCTTCACACCCTCTCCTGGGGATCAAGCCCCCAATCCAGGCATGTGCCTTGACCAGGAATTGAACCATGATTTCTTGGTTCATAGGTCAATACTCAACCCCCAAGCCACACCGGCCTGGCAAAACAATGAACATTTTTCAGGTTCATTTGAGGTTAGTGTCAATTAACATCAAACTCTGGAGACATATTTTATTTAACACTTGTGTCTAGAAGGTCACATATATTTTCTACTAGTTTCTATATAATTGTTATAGATAGATAGATAGATAGATAGATAGATAGATAGATAGATGATAGATAGATAGATATAGATAGATAAATAGATAGATAGAGATATAAATACACACAGGGTGCTCCTTTGAATGCCCTTTTGCCCTTTGGAAAGAACAAAAAAAACGTGACATTCACTTTATTCTCATGTCCTTGATGGTTTTCATGTGATTTCTGCTTAACACACTTGTCCTTTTACTTTTCAGAAATAACATGTGACCCCCCAATAATTGAAAACAGTCACTACATTCCTAAAAGGACCAATTACAGACTGGGACAAGAAATCACGTACTACTGTACAAGTGGCTTCTTCCCTTCCTCCTGGGGAAATACTGCAAAATGTACGGACAAAGGCTGGGATCCTCCTCCAAGATGTAGCTGTAAGTTCCCTCCATATCTTCACCTGCTTCTTAATTCTGCAATTACTTGTCTTAAATTTAAAGGGGGATTTTCCTGACTGGCGTGGCTCAGGGGTTGAGAATTGACCTGTGAACTGGGAGGTCATGGCTCAATTCTTGGTCAAGGTACATGCCCAGTTGAGGGCTCAATCCCTAGTGTGGGGCATGCAGGAGGCAGCAGATCAATGATTCTCTCTGCTCATTGATGTTTGTGTCTCTATCTCTCCCTCTCCCTTCCTCTCTGAAATTGATTTAAAAAATTAAAAGTTAAAAATATAAAGGGTATCTCATAAGTTCAAATCTTTGCCTCATTGAGAAGATAAAGCAGAGGGCTTCAAGGCAGTCTTTGATTTCTAAAATCCCCAAATCTAAGATCAAAACCACATTTTTTGTTAATAAAAACGTTTAATTTTTGCTATTCAATGTAAAATTTGTATATGTGTATGTATGAATATATGTTTCTCTCACTAATATTCTAATATGTGAATTAGATCACTGGGTAAGAGCACTACCAGTCAACACCTAGAACATGAGATATTGGTGTCTGTGCAACAAACGCTCCCGAACATAGGGCCTCAGACAACAGCCCCCTCTGTGTCAGCGTTGGCGGGTCAGGATTTGGGAGCCACTTAGCTGCCTGGTTCTGGGTCCTCCCTACTGCTCCCTGGGATGCTGCCCAGGGCGAGTGCAGGAGCCTCCGCAGCCGTCCCCCTGGGCGTCCCCATCTGCGGCCTGAGGGCAGGAACCCTCCCCAGAGCGATGACCTGAGGGCCCTGGAGGCAACTCCAGAGCATCGATGACCTGGTCACACAGTCCCCTCAGCCACGTGACCTCTTCAGAAGAGCGCCCCTCAGTGCAGCCTCACTCAAGGGAGGGGCCCGGGGCTCCCTTGTATGAAGGGATGAATGTGGGAGACTGTGCACTTTCTAAAGCCCCACCTGTCACACACGCCCCTCAGTCCACAGGGCACTTTATTCCTGGGGGGCTGCCCCTTTTCCAGTGTTTTCTGTCTCTACAATCTCATTGCTGCTCCTTGTGTATCAGCTCATTGGGAAAGAGGCCCACACTTAAGCTGGATCTTCCATGGATGACAAATGAAATGACACACATAACAGGTCAATGACTCAGGGTTCATTCAAGGCCAAGGCCAAATATTGACAGTCAGGTCCCTTCAAGAGGAGGCTATTTCCACAGCGAAATAGACCTCAGTGTGCATTACAATGACAAGGAGAGTGATGATTTATGCAGATAATATTGACCTACAGTGTTGTATTTCTTTAAGGTGTTCACTATAATGATTCCATATTTGTATATATTGGGAAATGATCAGAAAACAAGTGTTATTCACATCATCTGAAGAGTATAATTTTTCTTGTCCTAGAAAGCCTAATGCAATGAGTGTAATTAGGTGCATATGAGAATATAATTCATCAATGAAACAAGTTATCTCTCATTACATGTATATTAAGGCAAAACATTACTTATACTGTGTTTCCTTCGTTTTAATTGCTAGTAAATCCCTGTGAATTTCCAAAATTGAAGCATGGACTCCTATACAAGGAAGACACATATAGATCATACTTCCCAGCACCGATAAAACAATGGTTTTACTATTCCTGTGATGAAAACTATGTGACTCCTCCTGAAGGTTTCTGGCATTACATTACTTGCACACAAGATGGATGGACCCCGGAAGTGCCCTGCCTCAGTGAGTGAACTGCTCTGTGCTGTGCATGTAGCAATAGTTCAGAGTTCAGAGAGCAAACATGAGCACCGCTAAGTCTGTGTGAGAAAAATATGGTCAAGGAAAGAGTTCTATGAGCAGAAAGACCAACACAGCTATTTTCTTTTATGAAAGGTCCCTCATTAAAAACATGGGAGGTGAAAAAAAGATTTTATAATGATGTTCATCTCATTTACTCATAGTTCAATTGTGAAAACTACAGATAAATCATCTTCAATCTTGGTTTTCTTTTTCAAACACATTTAATAGCAACATTCCTTGTACTTAAGCTGCATGTTGGGACGCTTATGCATTCTAGTTGAAAGATTGTAAAGATAATTTTTAATTCATGACTATGACAACATTTATTCATTTTTCTGATCATTGTGTAATCCTCAGGAAAGTGTGTTTTTGATGATTTGGAACATGTTCATACTCCACCTAAAGTACAAAGATTGTTACAGGGACAGTCTATCAAAATTGACTGCCGTTCGGGCTACAGTCTTCTAAACCCACAGAGCACAGTGACCTGTACGGAGAATGGCTGGTCCTCGCCTCCCAGATGCATCAGTAAGTGAACCTCCCTGATGTCCAGTCCATTTGTGATTTTCTAAAACCAGACGTATCGCTGTGGAAAGTTTAATGTGTCAACTCTCAAGGTGAATGTGCCAAGTCTTCTTGGCTTTAAGACAAAGGCCTATTTCATTTCCTGTTCCAAATGTGTGTGCAGAGTTTTAAATTTTTGATAACAAATAGGTCGTTAATTTATTGCAGTAAGTGACAGCGAGCAATCAGTCATGAATATTGTGAAATACTATTGTGTGAAACAGATTAAGACCACGTACTGTATGTGTTCATTGAAGAAGCATCGAAAATGTCATTTAAATTAAAAATGAATACTCCTCTTGCCCAATGTCAATATATATATTGCTGTCAACCATTTCACCTATGATTGTATGTATTCATGCTATGAGGATATAAATGAAGATTCTCATATGCAGTCATATCTGGCTTTTACATGCTAAGTACACAGGTTTCTATAAGTCGTTCTGTGGGCGTTTAGAAATGAGAGAATAATTGTTATGGACATGGTATTATACACCAGGATATAATAGAGCTGATCTTTAAATGGAGTCTTTTTAAATGTGTGTATCAAAGCAGTGATCACTGACTTGAACTGGGAATTCAGGAATCTACTGAGCCCCGTGGTAACAACAGCCTGAGCACCTAAAGTAGCTTCTTTATCCTGCTTTCCCTACACCCGGTACACGGGTTGCAATACTTACTATTAATTCACTCAGACTAAGAACATTTATAGATATTAAAAAAAAATAAGACTGTTTCAAAGGAAACTAAACTAATGCTATAGAAAGTGGGCAAATTGACTTAAAAAGCATACAAAGAGATATCAGTTCTTACATTTTTAAATATTGTTCTCCATTTCATGGACTCCCTGTAGTGAAAAAGCTGTACCCTTTGCAATTCATTTTTAAACTCAGTGTGGATAAACTTTCAGTTCTGGGAATCATTAGGGAAAGGAAGGTGTTTTATATGAATATCAGTATCATATATCCAAGGACTACAGTCTTTCTCTAAGACTCACACTCTTAGTGTTAGTATGTCTGCTATGTAAATACATACATTGCCTCTTACATTCACAAATGGTGTTGTCCTTCAAATGATAGCATCATACCATGATAGCAGTGTAATTTAGTAACAGCCAGTGACATATCACAGTCAAAAATAGGTCAGACCAAAGGTTCCTAACCTGTATTTAGAGGTTTTGAAAGGTAGGAAAAAGGATGAGTAAGGAAATCTATCCTTCATGTTATATAACTCTTCCAGGCCAGAACCACACTGATTCAGAGAGTTGTCACATGATACTACACTCATCCACACACTAATGGTAAAGTTTAGTCTTCCCGGAATGGGATTTTCTTAGTTGGATTCTACATGATACGGCATTAGAAACACAATGGTCACCTTTATTTTGTTTAGAACATTGTGACATGCCCATATTTGAGAATGCCAGAGCCGTAATCACCGGAAAACCATTTCGACTCAATGACACGTTGAACTACCAATGCCTGGATGGCTATGAAAACAGAGATGGAAGCACCAATGGTTCCATGGTGTGTGGTGAGGACGGCTGGCTCCACTTGCCAACCTGCTTTAGTAAGTATTTTGATTCCAGCATTTCCTTTTCCAAGAATTGAAAAGTCTACATGTATGTTGTCCTTGCTTGAGTGTGGGATCTAAGGCATTTTGAACACAGGGTGGTTAGAAGGTTTAAAATGCAAGACAATACTTCCTGTGCAGCTTTACATCAATAGTTTTCATTAAAACTACAATTTTCTCTTCAACATTTAAAATGCTCATTTTCAGAATCTGCAGACAAGTGTGGGCCTCCTCCACTGATTAACTATGGAGCCATCACCTCCATCCCATTGGAAGGGTACCCTCCTTGGTCAAGAGTGGAATACCAATGCCAGGACTACTATGAACTCCGGGGTCCTCAATATGTAACCTGTAGTTATGCAAAGTGGTCCGAACCCCCGAGATGCATAGGTAAGTTCTCAAGATGCTTCTAGATCCTGAGACCATGAGGGTGATGTTTATGAGCTGGTGTGTGGTCTACTAGTCATGCAGTCAGAGTCTAGAACTGTGCTCACCAACAGCTCTCCTGCTCAATGTTTCATATGCGGAGGCTCGTGTGTAGGGCTATGAGCCTGGGGAATCCCTATGTGAACAATGATAAAGGTCCTTTAAACAGGAACATTGGGAGAGGCTGAATCTGATACATTAGCTGACCCCACTGTGGACCCCACCTGACTCATCCTCTCCTGTCTATGTGTCCCCTTCTGCGGGAGATCACAGCAAACCCAGTAAGTCCAGGACCGGAAATCAAAGTTACCTTACCCAAGTCCGAATAGTCTAGAAATAGTGCCAAGCTAGATTTTATGGGAGGGAAAGTGCTGCATTTCAAAGATAAATTCTAAACCTGAAGTTGAAATGATTGAGTAGATGGACAAGTCTAACACATGTCTCCCAGCACAAGCAAGACCTGCTCCCACAACCTTGAATAGAAAGCAGTCTTCATTATCTGGGGACATCACATCAGTTCAGTGAAGGAGCTAAGACTGTATTTGAGTCTTGGAATTGAAATACGCAGAGAGCATTTAAGATCATCAAAGGCAACCTCCAACATCATGTAAAAAATTACACAGACATATGGTCTATTAAAGCAAGGAGGTAAATTTTGCTTGGAGTAGTAAAGTTAGAAAGGGAAGATCAGAAAATGTGTTTTGGCACGTGTGTGGAACTCACATAGTATATACTTCTGAATGTACTGGGAAACATTTCAAAACTTTTGGATATGAGGAGTCATATGTGTTATTCTATCATGTTTCATCATGTAATAGTTAATGGGATGTGTTGGAACAGAACTTTCAGCTATGTCTAAGGCCTTATCAATGTCAGTGATGGCTGAACTAGAATATAAAATACTTGCATCAAGAGAAGAGAAATAGGAGTCCATGATATCTTCAAATTTTGACATAAGAAGAGTTGAAATACTGCCATTTGCAACAACATGGATGGACCTTGAGAATATCATGCTAAGTGAAATAAGTCAGACAGAAAATATATGAACCATTGATTTCACTTATATGTGGGATATCAAATTGAAACAAACAATGAACAAACAATAAAAAGAAACAAAATCTCACAGACAAAGACCACACTGTACTGGGTACCAGTAGGGCCCAGTGGGTGGGGCAGCAGTAGAGGATTAAAGAGGGTTAGATAAATGGCAATGAAAGATGATTTGATTTTGGGTGATGGGCACACAATGCAGTATACAGGTAATGTTTCATAGAATTAAACATTTGAAGCCTATATAATATTATTCACAAATATCACTCCATAAATACAATTTTTTAAAAGAAAATTAAAATTTTCAGCATGTATAAAGTTCTACAATGTAAGAACATTTTGCCCATAAGAGAAAAAAAAAGGTCTGAAACTTTATTCCAATCCCAGAGGCCGGTGCAGGAAAATTCATGCACTTCGGGGCGGGGGTCCTTCAGCCCAGCCTTCACCCTCTCGGGGTCATGTCCACCTGCCGGCTTAGGCCCGCTCTCGGGGGATCAGGCTTAAGTTGGCAGTCAGACATCCCTCTGGCAGCCCGGGTGCCTTTGGGGGATGACCGACTGATGGCTTAGGCCCACTGCCCACAGGGATTGGACCTAAGCCACAGTCAGACATCCATAGCACTGCCAAGGAGGCGGAAGAGGCTCCCACCACCACTGCTGCACTCGCAGCCATCAGCCTGGCTTGTGGCTGAGCGGAGGTCCCCCTGTGGGATCACACTGACCACTAGGGGGCAGCTCCTGAGACGGGTTCATTCCCAGTCCTTCCGCCATTAGGGTCAATTTGCATAATATGCTTTTATTATATACTAGAGGCCCAGTGCACAAATTCATGCACCATTGGGGTCCTTCAGCCTTGCATGCGGGATCGGGCCAAAACTGGTTCTCTGACATCCCCTGAGGGGTCCTAGATTGCAATAGGGTGCAGGCCAGGCCAAGGGACCCCACTGGTGCACGATCTGGGCTGGGGAGGGATGCAGGAGGTTGGCCAGCCAGGGAGAGACCGAGGGAGGGCTTCAGGATGTATCCGGCCCGTCTCACTCAGTCCTGATCGGCCAGACCACAGCAGCAAGCTAACCTACAGGGACCACCAGGGGGTAGGAGTGTCTTCCCCCTGGTGGTCAGTGTACATCATAGCAAGTGGTTGAGCAGCCTTAGCATATGATTAGCATATTATGCTTTGAATGTTTGAACCGACAAACAGACGACCGGACACTTAGCATATTAGGCTTTTATTACATAGGAAGATGTGAATGTTGCATACAGTCACATTGCAAAAGCAATACACTTGGCCCACATTGATGTACATTTCCTCTTTCCTTATTTCATTGGGTTGAAGGTTA